TAAAAAATATAGAATTATAAAATAGATACAATTGGAAAGTAGACCTGTATATAAGATAAAAATTTTACACAAAATACCAAACACATATTCTCATCTAAGTTATTATAAAAGGGCAGGAAATCAGGTCTTCCCCTTCTTACTCCTGCAGAAAGAGGATTCAGTTCTTAGCAATATATTCAACTCATTATAGCCACATGATTGTGCAACAAAAATTGTGACTGACCATGTGGTGATATTGATCAAATTTTTTCTGCTGTTCTTTTGGAAGCTGCTTTTATACGTTAAGGGTAAATCATAGGCCTTTGATATATGTTTCTAGAAATGAGGATTCCCTTCTTTAGAAGCACTCTTGCTAGCACAGATCCTGTACCAGATCTGACTGCCTCCACTGCTACCTGTTTCATGGAATATTACATGTTTGATGTTGCTATTTTCAACTTAATACATCATTAAAACACTCCTGGGATTTACTTCTTTGAGGATGAGAAGCAAAAGAAAGAGAAAGAAGCAGAGGAGAAGGGGAGAGTAAGATGAAGCCAAATGTAGGAACAAAGTGAAATCTAAAATTTTATATAAACTTTAAAAAATTAACTTACCCACTACAGCTGTCCCTTGGTTCAATAGGGAGGGAAAATTGGATGGAGGATTCTGTGCTAAAGAGTCATGTGAATTATAATGAGAAAAGAGGGTTGTAGAAGATGTTGCCAACAAAGAACAAGGAAAAACAGCTCCATCTTGCTTCTCAGCTAAATCAAGAGACATCTTAGAACCAGCACTACTTGGAGGCAATGATGAAAAATAAGGATCTTCTACTAAATCCATGTAAGAACATACGCTAAAAGCACTAGACTCATTCTGCTTTACATTAGAGGCATCACACATTTGGTGTTTAGAGTCATATGGCAGTGAATAATTCAGTTCTGCTGAAGAAACATGCATCACTTTTTGAGCCTGCAATTTCACAAGACAAGAATCACGTGGTTGAGATTCCAAATAAGAACAATTTTCCTTGATGTCCAACTCCTTGGTTTCTCTCTGCTGTATCAATTCAGAGGGAATTGATTTGGTCCGTATTATTGGCTCCTTTGAATTAAAATATCTTCCTACTGCATTTACACGTTTAGAATTAGGACATGCCCCAGACAAAATAGAGCTCAAGTCCAAACTTTGATGCTTCTGAAGAGGTTCCCCAACTATGGGAAATGCCTTTGTCTGCCGTTTCATGCTTGTGTCAACATTTTTGTTACAACCATAATTTAGCTCCAAAAAGTCAAAAGAAGTGCTCAATTTAGCAGGGTGCAAATTTAACCCTTCCTTTGTACTTATTTCAGAAGTCCTAAAGTCAAAGGAAGAAACTTCTGTGTTTTCCACCTTTGTCCTTTGCTTGCTCTGTTGGTTCATCATTTTTGCTTCTTTTATGATACTAAAACAAAAAGAAAGAGTGATGATGATACCATACCCCAAAAAGGCCTCTTCCCAGCATCACAATGAAGTATAAACATGAGATTCCTTTCACAGACATAATTAGTCAACATTTAGATATGTAAATATGTACTCACCTTTTTGGTGAATTAGGAGAATAAGAGTCTGCTTGTAGGATGTGATTTTGCTCAGAAACTGAATGCTTTGCTTGACTCTTCAAGAGAAATAAGTCAGAGATTGGTTTTTAGTGAAACAATGTCAATGAGATATTTTAATATTTAGAAGGCCAGGAAGTAATTGTTCAGAAAACATAAAAATTTTAAATA